ATTATTTTCAATTTAACCCAGCTTCTCCCACTGCCTTTGGCAAATGTAACCAAACAAGATAATTGCATAATATTAAATGGCAATGTTAACTCACACAAGGAATTTCTTTTAAAAGGGATATTTTACAATTTCTTACTATAGGCCTTCTGGCACCGTAGCCTCAATTATGTACATGTATCATCAATAATTTTTTTTTTAATTACAACGAGCTAACCTTGATTTCCATCAAGTACAAAAATCATCCCCCCCCCACCCCTTTTTCGACCTCGCCGCTCTGTTGTATAGCTGTCCATACACTCGTATTTCCTAGTTTTATTTTGATATTAAATGGAGCTATGTTCATTTTATTTTTTTTTTCTTTAAGCTTAATTAAGAGTTATACGAAAATGTAGAAATTTGACGTTTACATCATCAATGATACCGTTCTATATAGGCCTATACAATGCAGGTCAAACTGATGAACGAAATTGCCGTTTTTAAATCTAAAAGGCGGTCGTCCCCTCTAACAAACTGATAAATGGTCTGTATATTGTAAAAATTGATTTTCTTCTGCACCTAATAATCGGCGGAAGAACTGTGACAACTTACAATAAACACTTACATTTCATCAGCAAATATGATACAAACGCCAATTCTGCTCCATTTCCTTTAATAAAGCAATAAACTCTCGCTTGGAATTTTCATATCGAAAAGGCGGTGGCAACTTTCATCTTCATAACAACAAACATGTCATTTCCGGAAGAAGATATAAGGAAAAACCAAACCATCGGCGGAAGAACTTTATCCGAAATAATTAGCATGTGAAAATTTCCGATTTTTTTGTATTTTCTCTATATAAACCTTTACGGAAATTAACGCCATTATAGCTCCAATATGGCCGCTATGCAAATGAGCAGAATGAACACCATTTCTCCATATGATAAATAAACAATGCACAACCAGCTCCCAGAGCTTTTCCGAATTGTAGGAATAATAGCTACACGAGTTTAAAAATTCAGAATTTATAGTGAAACGGATTTTGTTGAACTTTTGATGTTTTTGAGGGGCTTGACCCGTAAATCTAGCACGTTACTGTACAAACGTGCTCCCTGAGGCAACAAACGTGCTCCTTTAAAGTTTACATATTATCAATTTAGTTTGACAATAAAATGTGGAGTAATATATTTCAGAATATGTCTCAGAATATGTCTTCTTTTTGGTCCGATTACGCTTGTTTCGTATTTAATTATATCTTTACAAAATACGATAATAGCTTGATCTACGTGCACACACCTCAAGTACAGAGAAAGTGCGTGTCAAACTAAGAAATGACGTCATCTCAGTAAGAACAGCTAGATCAAGCTGGCTTTTATTCTACATTCGCTAAGTGCTATTATGGCAAGGTAAGTTGCACATCCATTTATCTTTACAATATTTATGAGAAACGAAGGTATTTGAGTGTGTGTTAAAAAGAACCTTTAATGTTTATTTATCGAGATTCATTTGTATTGATTTAACAGAACCTCTGCATAAGCTGACTTATATATGGGAGTCCTTAACCTAGCTGCGTTATTGCCTTGCTGAATTGAATTTTTGTCATTTATCTAACTTACTTATTTATTTATTATCATTAATTTATTTCTGATAAATTATATTTTTTAATCACAGAAAAAAAATTAAACCAAGAAAAAACAACAACAAAAACAAACAATAAACAAAAAAAAAATGAAACTAGTAGACTAATTGTTCTCGAACAATAAGAGGTCTTTCCACCTTTAAATTTCATATATTCTTCACATTGAACTCTCTACTGTTTATTTTTTTACAAAAGGAACCAGAAATGGCTTGAGAGATGGAAAAAAATAAACATTTTAAAAGTGTTGAAATGACCTTGACCTTTGACATTGAACAAATATTGCAGGTCAAAGGTCAAGGATCACATTGCAATTAACCCCATACTTCTACGACTTTTGGTTTTAAAGATATAATGTTTACTAGTAAGCGCAAAGACGTTAAAGGGCGATAACTCATATAAGGGGTCACTGGATACTTTCGCACTGAAAAGATTGAAGTTGTGTCTAAAGATCCTGAATACATTAGTGAAGGTTTCGTGTCTCTGCGGTTTACGGTTTCAGAGGAGTAGCGATAACAATGTTTTTCGCACAAGGGGCAATAACTTTTAAAAGGGTTAAGCTTAGGGGACAAGATTGAAATAGTTTTAAAAGTACATATTAAAGATGTTAAGATATACTGTATATGTTGAAAGACAAAAGAGCTATAAAAAGAGCTTTATTTCTCATATTTGGAATGACCTTGACCTTTGACCTTGACATAAACTTCAAGGTCTAAGGTCAAAGAATCTAATCCATTTGGTTTCATGTCTCTACAATTTATCGTTTTGAAAAATTTTTTATTATTTGTAAACTTCAAAAACTTTCAGGGGCAGTAACTCATAAAAGGGGTCAACGAATACTTTCGCAATGAATACATTGAAGGAAGTACTTAGTTAGTCGAAGACATTGATGAAGGTTTCGTACCTCTACGGTTTACGGTTTCGATGGAGTAGCGATAACAAGGTTTCTAGCGAAAGGGGCAATAACTGCGAAAGGGGTCATAGGTTATATCCGTTGGGTCAAATTTGTTCATAATTTTTCATGCCCTTTACGAGGAACAAAAAATATTTTCGATAAATGTCGAAACCAAAAATCAGCGGAAGAAAAATAATAAGAAGAAGAATAATAACTAGTAGACTAATTGTTCACAGAACAATTAGAGGTCTTTCCACCTTCTTTAATTTTGTTCCCCATATTTACCTTTTATAATTTAATTTCAAATAAAAAGAAACTAGAAATGGTTTCAAAGTTTAGAAAAATGAAATTAAAAAAAAAATTAAGTGACCTTGACCTTTGACCTTGAACAGATCTTCAAGGTCAAAGGTCAAGAGTCACATTGCAATTGGTCTCATGTTTCTACAACTTTTAGTTTTAAAGTTATAAGGTTTAATAGTATACACAAAGAAGTTAAAGGGCGATAACTCATATAAGGGGTCATTGGATCCTTTCGCACTGATAGAGTGAAGTTGTGTCTGAAGACATTAGTGAAGGGTTGATGTCTCTAGTGTCTACGGTTTCAGAGGAGTAGCAATAACAAGGTTTTTCGCACAAGGGGCAATAACTTTCAAAGGGGTCAAGCTTAAGGGACAAGATTTAAATCTTTGAAATAGATTTAAGAGTACATATTAAGGATGCAGAGCTGTAAAAAGAGCTTAATTTCTCATTTTGGAATGACCTGACCTTTGACCTTTGTATATATCTTAAGGTCAAAGGTCAATGAATCTTATGCAGTTGGTCCCATGTCTCTATGACTTATCATTTTGAAAATTTTTAATTATTTGTAAACATCAAAAAGCGATAACAAGGTTTTTCGTACAAGGGGCAAGAACTCCGAAAGGGGTCATAGGTCATACTCGTTGGGTAGTTTTTCGAAATAACTTTTGATGTCGAGTATCATGAACTATAAAGTTTTTCGATAAGTCTTTCGGTTCAAAAGGCCGTTGCGGAAAAATAATAATAATAATAATAACTAGTAAACTAATTGTTCTCGAACAATTAGAGGTCTTTCCACCTTCTTTAAATTTCATATATTTTTCACATTTTACTCTCTAAAGTTAATTTTTATACCAAAAGAATCCATAAATGGCTTGAAAGATAGAAAAAATGAAAATGTTCAAAATTTTGAAATGACCTTGACCTTTGACCTTTAGCACAAATTGAAGGTCAAGGGTCACAGCATTTGACCCCATGCTTCTACGACTTTTAGTTTTAAAGTTATAAGGTTCAATAGTAAGCGCAAAGATGTTAAAGGGCGATAACTCATATAAGGGGTCATCGGATACTTTGCACCGAATAGATTGAAGTTGTATCTAAAGATCCTGAAGACATTAGTGAAGGTTTTGTGCCTCTACAGTTTACGGTTTTGGAGGAGTAGCGATAACAAGGTTTTCAGTAAAAGAGGCAATAACTTTTAAAGGAGTAAATCTTAGGGGACAAGTATGAAATCTTTGAAATAGTTTTAAGAGGACATATTAATGATGCAAAGATGTTTAGTATATGTTGAAAGATAAAAGAGATATAAAAACAGCTTAATTTCTCATATTTTGAATGACCTTGACCTTTGACCTTTGCATATATTATATGGTCAAAGGTCATTGAATCTTATTCAGTTGGTCCCATGTCTCTATAACTTATTGTTTTGAAAATTTTTAATTATTTGTAAACATCAAAAACTTTCAGGGGCAATAACTCATAAAAGGGGTTGACGAATACTTTCGCAATGAAAAGATTGAAGAGTCCCCTCAATTAGTCGAAGTCATTTGTGAAGGTTCCGTACCTCTACGGTTTATGGTTTCGGAGGAGTAGCGATAACAAGGTTTCTATCAAAAGGGGCAATAACTGCGAAAGGGGTCATAGGTTATACGCGTTGGGTCAAATTTGTTCCTAACTTTTTATGACCTTTACGGTCAACGAATAATCTTTTCGATAAACATCGAAACAAAAAATCAGCGGAAGAATAATAATAATAATAATAATAATAATAATAATAATAAACAGAAGAAAATCAATAGGTCTTTGCACAGAAAGGTGGAAAGACCTAATAAACAGAAGCATTTCAAGAGGTCTTTCCACAGAAAGGTGGAAAGACCTAATCATAATAAACAGAAGCATTTCAAGAGGTCTTTCCACAGAAAGGTGGAAAGCCCTAATAAACAGAAGAAAATCAATAGGTCTTTCCACAGAAATGTGGAAAGACCTAACAAAACAACCCCACACCCACATAAGATTCTGTATTTTAAGGTTGTTGCTCTTTTTTATGTGAATATTGAGTTGTGTCAATCGGGTTCGGAGTTCGTTGGTTTTGTGTTCGATCATCCCCAGAAGAGGGCTCTTAAAGATCACAAACAATTCTGCTCTGGAAGTATTTTTTTCATGATAATCGGAATTTATTCTGGAATTTGTACTTACGTTCAACACATGTTTTCCTTAAGCACCCTATACTGCCAGTAATTCCACAGGTACATCTACTGCAGCCATCAATATCGAGAAAGGTATCACCCACGTTGTAAAATTTACCATTGTGCCTGCATCCTAAATACAAAATGGTTTTAAAAAATAATATTGCAATGCATTGCATTAACTTCTATGTATTTTTGGTTTGGTTTTGTTTTCTAATTTTGTTTCGTTAATAAGTTAATTGTAATTTAAGCACTCCATTGAAAATACGCTTTAAAAAAACTTTTATGGACTATCCTCAATTATACTTATCATCTGTATGTCACGAAATATATATATTAATATATGCCCAAATACATATAGATCTTCATCAGGTAGTATAGTGCTTAGATAATGTCTGTTTTCCCCTATCTGTTTTGTTTTATATGTGTGTAATAATGCTATTCTGTGATATTTTTACTTAATGAAATAAAAGGAAAAGTATTTCCCTTGCTCCAAATTTAATAAATTAATGAATAAGTCTGACCTATTAGGAACATAAAGTTTAACTAATTAAAAAATGGATATTTTATTTTTCGATTTCTTACCATTGTTATGATAATTTTACCTTTCTTTTGTTCCACCACTGGCGTTACACACTCACGTCTACAGGCACATCCAAGCGAACAACATTTTTGGTCTACACAAAAAAATCAATGAAATAAGATTCACATGGATAATTCCCCTCCACCTGCTCCTTTTTTGTTCCATCATTCATTTACAGTTTATCCTTTAAAAAAATTGTATTTTCTGCCTGACAAAGATGTAGACAGTCAGTGTTTAGGATGGCGATCACTACATGATGGGGCAAGGTCATTAGGTTATGTATTATAATATATTGTAGATAAATAGTTCTGTTATTCAATTCCAACATGACATTTCTCTAAAATATTCAAAGTTACATTCCGAAACAATTTCTAAATGACAATTCTGTACAATATTTATAGTTACATTGACGTGTTTTTTTAGTACTCACTTCCTGGACAACTACGGTCTACCACACAAAGAACGTCCCGTCTGGTACATTCACATTGTGCTACTCCGTTAGATTCAGGACATCTTCCTGGCTTTGTAAGAGAGTTAGGGAAGGGAAAAGGCAAGCGAATGGGCGAGCGGGGTAGTCCTGGTAGTTCAATCTTATTAGGCATAAACTGCCCACATGACTGTCAAATAAAAAGGAAACGGATTAATATAAGTTGTAACAACTTGTTTCCGAATCCTGTGTGTATTATTTATTGTGTACATATGACGTATAATTTAAATGAAATAAAGTTTAAACTAACTAGTGTGGTCAAGGAACATGGGTCAGGGTCACTTGCCTTCATCCATTAAAGTGTGGTCAATTTTTAAAGATCAATTCAATTAAAGGAAATATTCATCTTTACATATCAATTGATGTAAATGAGAGAAGAATTTCCTAGAAATAGTTTATTAAACTATAAATGTTCATTGATTAGTTTGTATGCGGGACGTGGAGATCGGGCCTTCGGATGAAATCGTGTAAATAAAGGTCATGTGTCGCAGCAGATGCAGGCAGGAAAGGGATCCCTCACAAATCAAAGGCATTCAGGACCGAATACAGGTATAAAGTTTGCACCCCAACAAACAAGCTGAGACAAAACACACTTGTTCAGATAGACATGAAATTCAAAGTAAGTTTCTGAGTCTTTGGCTCTAAAGTGCTTAAAAGCTAATTTTGATCATTAAAGCAATTTTTTGGCGGAGGTGGCCCTGAACCGTCTAATGTATTTTTTTTTCTAATTTGCGCTTTCATTCTAAGATTTAACATCAAGAGGGAAATGTAAACATAAATTACGATTACAATGATAATATCAACTAACATTTCGAGATGAAAACGAAAAAAAAAATCGTGGAGGAAAACCATACTACATGTTCATTATTTCCTTGAGAAGATTCCTCCTATGTCTACAAATGATACATGAGAAACGGATGACTATTTGCCCGTAGCCTAAAGTCATCGAAGGGACCGGAAATCTATAGGCTTTTTTGTAAAGATTAAACCCAATCCAAGCCATTTACCTCACTTCCTTTGATATAACGAGGTATCATTTTACAAAAAAATATATATTTTTTTTTTAAGCCGAGATGCGAACTCAGGACCTTCCAATCACGGACCGTTCACGGTAGCTCAGGCGGTAGAGCGCTCGCTCCGTGATCGGGAGGTCGTGAGTTTGAATCTCGGCCGCGACTGACCTAGGTCGATAAAAAATGGGTAGCAACTGTTCCTTCGCCATGCGCTCGGCACTTTGAAGTGAAAGTTGCGGGTCCTTCGGATGAGACCTTAAAAATCGAGGCCCCGTGTCACGGCAGGCGTTGGCACGATAAAGATCCCTCACTGCTCAATGGCCCTGAGTGCCGAGTAAAGGTCAAAATTTGAAGCCCTTCACCGGTATATGGTGACGTCTCTATATGAGTGAAAAATTCTCGAATGGGACGTAAAACAATATACAATCAATCAATCAATGGCCCTGAGTGCCGAGTAAAAATCAAAATTTGAAGCCCTTCACCGGTATATGGTGACGTCTCTATACGCGTGAAAAATTCTCGAATTGGACTTTAAACAACATACAATCAATCCAATCACGGAGCGAGCGCTCTACCGACTGAGCTACCGTGACGGTTAAATGGATTTAAATATAACGTTTTTTAATACCCCCCGCTTGAAAGGTGGGAGGGTATATAGTGATCGGGGTGTCCGTTCTTCCGTCCGTCTGTCTGTTCGTCCGTCCGTCTGTTACGCTTTGGGGTACATATCTCTAATCCGCAACTCGTCTTATACCACTGAATGAAATTTAATGAGACTTTAGGCCAAAATAAAAAATATCTTTGTTTCCCCTAACGCGACCGACCCAATTAAATCTCGCCGACTGAAATGTTTTTTTAATAAGATTATTCAAATATTTTTTTTTATTGTTTATCAACTTTTATGAAATACAATTTCATCAAAATCTGTTTTATCAGAACGACCGACATTGTTTAACTGCGATTTTCAAGCGGTTACTTCGTTTACGGTGGTATAAAACAACGGCGAGGTATCAACCTTATGCCTTTTGCTTACTAGAATTCTACACTCTGTCTTGTCTTAAAATTATGGTACGTAGTTTATGGTCAGGCCTGCCTCGTGAGCAAGGGGGGGGGGGGGGGCTTCCTTGTGAACACATCAATCAATTTCAAACACATCAATCAATTCCACTGCTTTTTATTAAATTTGAGTTTTGGTCTAATAAATATATCTGGATATTTCATCCGTGATGAATATAATTCAGACGTCCTTTCTTCACGCCTCAATTCATGTGTTAAACTTCGTGACTTTGAAATTGTGTGTAGCATTTTAGATATGGTTTGGTTCAATACTGTTTACATACTCTTTCCTAATATTTTGAAATTATGATACAGCTTCCTGAGACATCCAGTGTATTTTTCTTTAATAAGGCCCTTGAAGTTTGGTTGTTTCTTTGCTTTAAATTCCTTTGAGAATTGTTGGAACGACAACATTTTAACATTTGTCAGGAGCTAGAGAAGGGCTCCAAATATAGACTTGAACTGGGTCATTGAGCAGTGAGGGATCTTTTACGTGTCAGCATCTACTGTGACACTGGACCTAAGTTTTTACGGTTCAGTTTGAAGGACAAGCCTCCATGTCCCTCATGATCATTGGGATTGAACCTGCGACTTAGAATTACTCCTTACTTCAGGACTCAAAAACGAAATGCTCTAGAACCATAGCACAACTTAAAGCCCTTGAAAAAGTACATTGCATTAAGCACTGGAAGCTGATAGTAGGTTTGAAAAATATACTCGGATGTCTGGGCTTTGCGTATCTGAGAATCTTGTCTTTTTAAATATACATTATTCGATTTAAATAAATTTACACTGGCGAGAAATATTTCAAAATATTCAATTGAATAATAGTTGTGAATTATTTTACCTTAAAGTTTTGCTTTTAAACAGCCAATAATTGTATGATATTCTGTTTGCAAATCGCTTTCTTTTTTACTGTTCTTATTTATAAAGGTATTATTCCATTAAATTATACAATGCATTTTTAAAACTGCTATCAGGAAAAAAAAATTTACCTGCCTACCTACCCAACTTGAGATTTTAGGGTCGGGTTAGGGGAAACAAAGATATTTTTAATGATGGCCTTAACAGAATCTTTGTTACATAATGCCATTGTGCACCTCCTATTTTACGTTTTGATCTGACACTTATTTCGGGTCTCCCAGGGGAAAACATGGACTTTGCCATTATAATCATATGGGAGGCGGGGGTATCATTTAGTGAGCTCAGTGCTCACAGTACCTCTAGTTTAACTAAAAGTTAGAAGGGGAATAAATTTACTGAATGAAACCTAAGTTTCAATAACATTGTACTTACGCTTATAAATAAAAGCAAGGTCATAAATCCTCTTTCCATTTTTTGTATCAAGAATCAATGTTTGGGAAAATATACAGTTAATCTTAATGCAGCTATTTATATTTATACAACTACTTGAACTGATAAACATGCAAATTTGAAAACATCAATCTTGTTTTCTTTGATTAATTAACTCTTTTTCTTTCAACTTATATGCTGGTCTATGTCATTAGTATTAATTGCGTTTTACTTTCTCCTAAATTTTAACATTATTTCACTCAACTTACGAAAAAAAATTAAATAACGAATTTTTGCGAAAAAAAAACCCCGTTTGCTACTTAAATTTTAGAATAAACGTTAAATCTTTCTGGGATTTAATAGGTAATTAGTAATGTTCCTGGGGTTGTTTCTGTATGATTTCTAAACGAAAAGGTTCTCAACTGCTTTTAGTCTATCTGTAAATGAAAAATCATATCTTGTAGATCATTCACTTTAGACAGTGGTTTATTGATTGAAATATTTTCAATTTATAATGCTTTTCAATTTGATAGTATTGCCTGTATATTGTTATTTATATATACAAATTTCAGTCATTAAAACTTACATTTAAATATGACTTTAAAGAATAAGAATAATCGATATCGAGTATCTATGTGAAAAACTCGAAATGCTGTGCAGTTGTCAACGTAGAAAAAAATCAATCAAATGGGTAGGTTTAGATTTTGACAGCCTTTATTTAAATCCCATGAAGTTGCTTTGTTGGCCAACGACATTTTTCAATAGAATTTAAGAATCCGAGATTCATTAAGCATTTAAAAGAAAATATTCTTTCACCTGCTTTGTAGGTACCTGATTTAAAATAGAATGTACATGTAGTAGCATCATATTACGGTATTTTGGCGAATTTTCTTTTGGGAATGAAATTGCAAGCTTATGGTGTAAGTTTGGTTCATTTGTATTTTTTTGTTTACACATTTTACTTTAGGCCATCTTAAAAAAAATTCGGTTGCCCTCTCCCGACCTACTGGCTAAAAATGACTGGACTCAAAACCTTCTTTCACCCCCCAAGTACCAATTATTTTTTATGCAGTCCAGAAAATATATTTCGACAAATTCAGCGTTGATATTGAAATTTCCTTTAAAACAAATTCAAACAAACCTGCCGACCCCATTTTTTCATAATTTTTTATAAAGGTGGCTTACCTAATATTGTTTAAATTATTTGATTGCATAGGTAATTTCGAAAGATTATTGTAATGTGACCATGCCTTTGTCATTCAAAACACGGCAACTGGACAACTTGCATGTTCTCTATATGTGTTTTTACTTAATCTCGCACATGTACTATTTGTTCTTTGCTTAAATTTGAACTTTACCTGAGAACTTTGCTCGTTAGCTTAAAAATATCTCTTTCCCAATTACTTGCCTTGGACAAATTGCAAAAATTAAAATACAATATATTGAAAAACTGAGGATCAGTGTTAAAATATTTACAAGAAAGAAACATGGTATAATTTATTAATCTATAGCTTTATTTAAGTAAAACTTCAAATGTAATAATAATTAGATTAGTAAATCAGAACATATTTTCTGCTTGATACTAGTACAAAGTGTTTTATAATGTGAAACGGATTTCCAAGTCGAAAAGTAATGTTTAGACGTTATTTATTCAGACAGAAAAAAAATTAAAGCATACGTGCTATACACGAATTCATAGAAAAAGATATCGTAAAAGAGAATTTTGGTAGACTTCAATTACAGAAGCAAATATCTGTTGTATTTTCTATTGTCGTTCTTCGTCCTCAATATAAGGTTAAAAAATATGGGAATACAGAGAGAAACTTTTATTTTAATCAAACTTGTGAAGTATAACAGAGCCCAGGTAGCACAGATGAGCGTTGTGGCCCTTCTTTAAACTAATGGGGTGTACGGATGTCTTTAAAGGTCTGCACTTAAACGTAAGGACATGACACTAAAAATGTTTTTGATTGACTGAAGGTGCTTCTGTATTCTTTGTAAGCTCTGTAAATGGAAAATTTAAAAATAGGACTGCACTTCAAATTCGTATCTTGGTGTCCCTCTACTTGGTGTTTTTGCTGTATAATTTTAACGTTACCTGATACTTTTTATGTATAATAAATATTTTCGTTAATACCACAATATTATCAAATCTGAAAAGAAAGCTTGTTTACTTAGGGTTTTTATTTAAAAATATTTCACTGACTAGATCTTGGAAGGATAAGATCTTCTTAATTTAAAGTTTCCGTGCCACTAGTAATTAAAACTTCATCGACTTAAACTTGGTGACATTTAATTAAACTTGGTGACATTTAAATGAGTAATAACCAGGAAGTAAAGATCAATCGACCTTCACCAAACGTAATAAAAGATCCAAATATGTTATATAATAATACAGGCAAATTTAGAGCAACGCTCATTTCTTTAGAATGATCTTTCATGCAACAACAAAATAATGCATAGCGATCAATGTTGTTGGATAACAAGTGAGGATTTTTTTCCTGGATAAAAAAAATGGATGTAGAGGTAAATAGATGCCAATGCAAAATAAGGGTTTACAATGCAGAATTGGGATTTTCAATGCAAAATTGGGATTTTCAAGGCAAGACTAGATCTTGCTTGAACCTAACCTAGCGTGAACGACAATAGATCTAGAATATGTATCGACTTATAACATATCTCTATTTGTTTTTTAAAAGGCAGAAGAAATATGGCAGATTCTGGAGAAAACGTACAAGAAAAAACCCAAACTCGTTTTGTCCGTAGTTGGGGATTCCGAAACGTTCGTTCCAAAGGTTTGGTCTCGAGATGTATTCCAAACAGCACTGATAGAGGCTGCCAAGTACAGCGGAGGAGGTAAGGAGCATTAGTACACAAAAAAAATATAACCTTCACAAATGTTTAAAGTCGCCTTTATCATAACTATTATCAAAGGAAATATGAAATCCTTTGTCCCATTTTAAGTCAGATCTAGTGATATTTACGGAGTAAAAAGGGAATATTTACACCCTAGGACATAACAGATGATAGACGATTCAATTCGTTTCTTTTATCCCCCCCCCCCCGGCCAGGACAAGGAAAGAGGGTCTAATGTTTTGCTAATGTTCTGATGGTCGATCGTAATGTCGGTAGACGTAAGGTTCTCCGGATATTACTTTGTTTGAAAGAAATCAAACTTGGTACACTGAAGAGTAGATAACCCAGTTGATTTTGTTGTCGCAAGATAAAAGCCAGGTTTAAACTGGACACTGCATTTATTGGCTTGGTTCGAGGGCTATTTGCTTTTTAGCGCCAAGCATAACAGAAATTGTGGAATTAAAAATTCACTTCTCCGATTCGCAAATCATTTCATCTTTTTTTCATTTACTCTATGTGAAAAGCATAGAATATAATGAATATGAACTTTAAAAAAAAAAATTAAAATATCCCTGAGTTATACATTTTTTACCGACACATATGAGGTCTATATAGTGTTATAAAAATTCAGTTTTTGTAAATGAGGGGGGTATTCAAAGTCAATAACAGAAATATAGTTCCAGTGATCGTTTCTTTTTTTTTTTTTAATATGTGTTATATGTGTGTGTGCTCGGAGTTTTCAACACTACCGATGATCAGCAAATTGATTCATTATGAACGGAAAATGATTAAACTCATCTAAAGGCACAATATACCGATAAGAGTTTCCATTTAAATCGCACCGTGTATACCACCCAAGTCGGAACAAAAATCTGAAAAACGATTGAAAATATAATGAAAGCCGTGGCTTATATCATAAATTTCCTCGACACTTATAAATATAATTTATATGATCCTTAAAATTTACAAAACGCAGTAAAACGTATCCATAGTTTCGTTTGGACAGGACCCCCTTTCCGATATTCAACCACGGGGCTTGTTAAATTTTTTTCTCACAAATTATGAAGTTTTTCATTGTGAATACCATAGGATAAATCGGAAAAAGAACCATAATAATAGTTCCTCATAAAAAAATACCCTACTATAAGAGAGAACGGTATGATCTGAGAGAGATTATTACGTCAGGTTAAAGATCTCTCGGATGTTATCGTATTAGGAAATACATTCTTTATGCACTTCCGTTGCGTTTTTAAAGCATTGACTGTGATGGTATTTAAGGATTAATTGTGGTATTCTTACGAGATGCAGTGTCAATCCTATAGCATGAACCAAGACAAAAATATATTCAGAGACAATGTGAACCGATATCTTAGGTTTAAATTAAATAAATGCATGTTATTTAACCCAGAAAGACCCGCGAGAGTACATCGAAAAGAAACCGGTGTGGCAAGTCTTTCTTTCTTATAATGAATAATGTTTTGTTTTTTTTTGTATGTAAAACGATTATGTTTGTTTTATTTCGATTTCTCCTATGGTATACATGATAAATGAATGTTACAAATATAATTTTTGAAGAAAACAATTAAATCAAGCCCCTGTGTTGAATGGGGGGGGGGGTCCTGTCCAAAAGTTTGAATAAGAGGGGGTTCCTGTCCACAAGTAATTGTGATCATATCTTATAAAAAGCTAGAGCGTTCCTAGGAACGCATTTGTCCCCTGCTTTTTTGCTGCATTAAAGATGTAAATAAATCTAACAGCGTCTTATTTACTGTTAGCATATTTCGTGCATTAAAAATGGCATCCATGGATAGTATAAGACTGCGACAAAATCTGACAATAAAATAAAATATGGGTTTCTCAACCTCTCAAATGAATAATTAAATTGAAATTATAATTTTATTAATTTATGAATACGTGTTTACAAAAATCCACCAAAAAGATTTCAGTCTGTTTTTATGGAATTGTATTATGGAATACCGATCCCGAAGTATTTTCATAGTATCTAGATACAAGTTTGTATGATAACTGAATTTCATACAGTTTCAAAGTACAGTATCCTGAGCTCATAAACATATATAAATGCTAGTTATCAAAATACTGTCTTTCAAAAGTCATTAGTTAAATAAAATGCCCGAGGTATTTTCTGCAAAGTAGATGAAAAGTCAACGTCAAGTGGATTGTAATGTTGGTATTTTTCATAATGTCGTATGACAAACAGTGCACATGCTAAATAACATAGAGCTACGTCTTGAATGTAAAAATTGTGCTGTGTATCGGCAGTATGAACTTTTTGAAAAGTAGGTTCAAGGTCAAGTGTCACGAGCTCGGAAACCATGATATTTTACAAAAGCCATCGTGTCAAGCAATATATTTGCAAAATATCAAATCCACACCTATTACAGTTCTAAAGATATAGGGTGTGACAGACGGAGAGACAGACAGATGGACAGATTCTGGGTAAAGTGATCCCTAAGTACCCCTCTGCTCTGCAGGGGACACAAAAATAACTCAAAATAAATTTACATTTGAACCAAACTGAATAATGCATTTTATGAAATGCTTTTAAATAAACTTTTAATAGTGAATGCAAACATCACCCAGGTTGACCTTAACTTTGAGACACATATCAGTTGCAGACAGAGGTAACAATTAATCTTAATATGAGAAGATAAGTATCTGGATTTTCTGCAGCAAGTAAAATAATTACATGTAATCCCAGGTGAATCATTGTATTGCTCTGTTATATTTTTCCTAGTCAACAATTTGAATACTTTCAACAGTTAAAAAACGAGCTTTTTATTTAACTATCTCTAAAACTAAAGTGTCCTGAAATTAACTAAGGCAGCATAAAGTATATGATATCTTAAGCTATTTTTTTTTCAATTTCATCAAATTATACTGCAATAAAATGTGTATTTGAATCAGAGACTGAAATGCTGTTCTTTAAAAAAAAACATTCTTCAGTGATTGCAAACGTCACGAGTCATGGCCTTATAAACAACCCTTACAAACAGAGATGTTAATCTTTCTGTGACGACTAGAGTCTTGGTTATATATATATACTGCGGCAGGAAAAGATATTATCACTGAAAACTCTTTGCAGCCTCCACAGTTAACAAGGAAGGATTCTTATCAATCAAAATTGGTATCAAAATGTGTGTAAATGCCATTCAACCACCAACATACCAAATCTAAACTTACAAGGACAATTGTAAAAAGGGTATTAGAAAAAAAACTTTGTGCACGGATCCCTAATGATTGAAAACAGAAAATTCAGAAAGTATTGTTGCAGATTGTTATATCAATCAGAAGCACTTATTCATTAGAGTGTTTTAACACATTAGGATTTAAGTGCTTGTTTTGACAGCCTAACGATTTTGATGCCTGCAGAAAATAATGTTTAAATGAAATATGACATGTACAAAAACTTGTTTTGAATAAAAATTATGCCGGCTTTGTATCCGCGTCTTCAGTCTGTCCAATTTGAAAATACCTTCCATTATAGAATCTTTTCAGTAGTAATCTGATATATTTTCGATAGCTAAAAATATTCAATAATAGTTTCAAGATAATTTGGGACAGCGCCAAGATCCGGAACCAGGTCGAGGAATGCTAAAGTCTCTGCACCTTTCAAGAGTGCGAAGATATTGCCGCTTTCTGTTAAGTTGTCTTGATGTAAATAAACTGAATACTTTGATATTTGTATTGAAAATTAACCTGGTTAATTTTTGGTTCTGTGATGCCAGCATACAGCTTCAAATTTACGAAGACATTTCGGATTTTCCTCAACGCATCATTGTGTTTTAGATTCTTAAAATATGAGCCTTGTTTCAAAATGAGACAAATAGTTGGGTCGTATAACAATAACAAAAAACCTGATGACCTCTTGAGTAAATCTGAATTTCACTTGCATTACTTTGCTTGTATTTTAATCTTTTCTTGCTTCGTTTTTGTTTTACAATTAAATACCATATATTAATATTTATAAACTTTATTCTGCACTGTGGGCTTAAAAATGTCACAATGGTAATGATGATTATACATTGCTGTGTCTTCATTGGTTGAAGCTAGGGATTTTGTTTGTTTGTATGTTGTTTAACGTCCCTCTCGAGAATTTTTCACTCATATGGAGACGCCTACACTTGCCGGTGGAGAGCTGCAAATTTTGTCCTATACTCGGCACTTACGGCCATTGAGCAGTGAGGGATCTTTTTCATGCTAGCACCTACTGCGACACGGGACCTCGGTTTATACGGTCTCATCCGAAGGACCGGTACTACGGCTTTCATACTTCACATGATATGGCTATCCCTTTTTACAAATATTGTTGACTTTGACGCTTGAGTTTGACGTACATTCTATTTTGGATGGGGGAGGGGGTTATAATTGTTTAAAACTTGCTTTTGTTTCGCTAATATGTTTTATCTACATGGCGTATAAGCTGTAAACACTATATTCAAAAAACAAATTTTATTGATTAAAATATAAAATTTACAGATCGTAAAATTATACAAGTCAGAACGCATGTAAGTTTACAGCTCATATTTGAATATAATTTTCATTAATATTATTTTCAGGATGCTTAGGAAACGAATGTTCACATTTAACTTCTGAAATCCTAACTTTAATTTTCTGCACATCTCAATTTGCAATGAAACGTGTATATAGTTCTTGTGAAGTTTATTGTGTATGTTAATAGGCAGTTCAATGTTTTATATTTTTCAAAGGACTTCAACGAAGAAAATACACTTAATGTTTATGAAGTAAAGTGTGCAAAATCCGGTCACCACTGTTCTATAGAAATTTGAAAGTTTCGACAACATTCTGGATAAGAAATTTTAAATTAAATGAAACTGCTTTAAAGAGCTAAGAATTTACATTGTTATAGGCTAAATTTCTCAAAACACAAATCAGGACTTACGATATAAATAAACTGATTGTACGAGTATATAGATTAATTAAACAAATCCCAGTGAACAAACATGTACGTACACTCAAAACACTCCTCTGACTCAAGTGAATGAAATAATACATGAGCAATAATTATACTTTTAATAGATTTTTATTCAAACTACAACCTATGAGATATAACAGATGTACTGCATTTTATAAATTCGTAGATACATGGATTTTGTTCTGTGGAGGTCGGAAAAGCACTGTGTCTTCGATGATTTCTGAAGCTTTCGACACATACACCCATTTAGAAAATCTTCATTCGTATCCCAAGGAAGCCGAATCTTTTCCAATCAAACCAATTTCGCTTTCTTTTGAGGCCGATTCCAAGAAAGACAGAAAGGTAATTCAATAATTTAATATTTTTAGTAATAAAGGTCTGGGGTTTTAAACTTTATCTTCAATGGTAAGTTATTCACGTATTGTTGGTTAGAAGGAGTGTTGTATTGAAAAAAAAAACTTGCACCTTCATAGAAGTTGATGATCGTCTGAGCTACATTTAAATTCTGTTCAAATAAGACCAATTTCGCTGTCTTTTGTGGGCAATGCAAAAAAGGTAAAACTTTAAAAAGAAAAACAGAAACTTTGTGTCATAGTCTGTATTTTAAAGGATAATCATAATCTTCAGATATTTATTTTGAATTTGAAAACATTTTTTTATGTAAGAGAAAAAAGATATATTGAAATAGCAACGAAAGAACGATATAACAACAACGTTAACCACATTTACAAATCTGTTTTTATGGTTATAGTCTGAATTCTGAATATTGTAATGTGAAAAAACTGTTGATTTAAGAAATCTTCCACTACAAGTGTGCAATGGTAGCAAGGGATTACATGGGGTTAAAAATGGAAAAGTTAAAAGAGTAAAATCATTGAATTAATAGAATATATATTTAAATTGTAGCAGATGAAATTGTCAGGCCACGTCGAATGTTTGTTTCATGGGTATTCAGAGAAATTTGAGGAGTACCGTTTGCAGTTAGAAAGCCACATCCATAAACAGACGGTTTCTTTTATGGACGAAGGAGAACTTAAATTGGGTACTTGAAAGCTTTTCACGCAAAATATTGCTGAAATTTTAATATAAGAAATTTAAGAATTCTTCAATATATACAATTTCCTTCAGATTTTATTCATAATTGAGCTACTACACTTAGCTAAAGCCAATTTCAACTAGATTTTACTTCAAATCGTACTTGATGAATAGGATTCCTATATTCCTATAAAGGGGAAAATATCTTCTTGCAATAGGAGATTACCAAAAAGTGAAATATTGGTGGCATCATTTCAAAATCCTCTTATTAATCTCAGGGTTCAACTAACTTATGTATGTAATAATGCGTCTTAACAAATCATAATTATTCAAAATTGATCTATTTATGACACCGTTAGAGGGTTTGGCAAAAAAAGACCAGTAATGTATGGACAAAATAGAAAACATTTTTGAAATTTTTCAGATTAATTGTTTGTATTGTTTGATTTACTATAGTGATCATTATATTTTAGTGATAACTATGAAAACTTTGATTTACTATAGTGTTCACAATGAAAACTTTGATTTACTATAGTGATAACTATAACATTATAGTGATCACTTTGAAAACTTTGATTTGCTATAGTGATCACTTTGACTGACTATAGTTAACTATAGTAAACTGTAATTAACAATAGTATTTTTTGTTAGGGTTATCGGAACGACCCATAACTTTCTTTTCAAAGTGCCGAGTGCTTGGCAAAGGAACATATTTTCTTATTTTATTCGACTTGGGTAGGTCGCAACCGGGGTTTTAATTTCGATCTTCCGATCATCTTTCAAAGAATAACAAAGCCAAATTAATACGCTCGGAATTTAAATAATGAAGGCAATCAAAGTCTACCAGTTCTGTATCTGAATTAAATAGTCGTATACTCCAAATCAATCCTCCTATATTCTCCTCTAAGTATCCAATCTTGGTTTGCTTTTCGCATAGTATTCAATCTTCATTTGCGCTCCTTTCATCTAATTATTTTTGCTCTCCTCTTACATAGCTTTTCTCATTGTTCTATTGCTTCGAAAGAATAAGATAGTCTACTCCGATTCCGTCTATTGCGTTGTTCGAGACGTCATTTACAAAAAAAAGAATTGCCTCAAAAATGTACAGAATTAGTAATTCAAATGCCATAGCAGAAATGTCTTTTGAATTAAGTGAGGAAAGTACAACTCGATCCCCATATCTTTTCTTGAATGTTTGGACATACAGTTGTGAAAAATAAAGTTATGTGTTTTCCCTTTCAGATCTACCTATACCAGTTGTTCGAATTTTAGTGGAAGGTGATGTAAACAGCATTCATGGTATTGCAGAATCTGTACACAGAAACTTGCCTGTGGTTATAGTTAAGGGTTCAGGAAAAGCGTCAGATCTTATCGTGGACTACATTGAGAGGTATGTTTAATTTCTTCAGGGTTTAAAGCAGCTGCTGATTTTTGAAAAGTCATTAGTCAAATATAATAAATACTAATGAAAATATATTTGAATATACTGATAATATTAATGGAACTGTGAAGCTAAACCATTTTTTAAAATCAGAATCTAATGTAAACGAAAGATATTTCATGTCAAATGATCTTTATAAACTTTCAGATATTTGCAATAGGAAAATAAATTCAAATGATATATAGTAACGTTGATTACTTTGGTATATGGCTTCAAGACCTAATTTTGATTTACAGTGAATAATATTTAAATTCTTTTAGGCCCGAATCACTGAAAACAAATGCAGCTCTGCTTTTCGGAATTCGATTTCGAAATGAGACCTTCGATTCACTGAGGAAAAGCCTTGAACAGATTAAAGCTTCTGAAAATCTTGTAACATTTTGTTTCTTTCTACATAATATCTGCATACAGCTATAACTGTACACTCAATTACTGAATTAAACCTCAAGTAAAGTATTAAATATGAATGAGAGAAAATGCAAAATTAGCAATATATTATAAAATTTGAATACTAGTAAATTATCTATTTATATCTCATTCTTATCTTTCATGTCGTTTTGACTGTCTTTGTAACGTTTTAGGTTAACATATTTGATGTAGAGAATAAAGCTGCAGGTTCTTTCCTTCAAGTTATTGGTGAAGCTGTGGTGCGTGCCTCGGCTTACTCTCAAGTCAACGACAAAGGTATTGAGATACAATTAAAAAATCATACCTCATTTATCAGAGATACAGTGTTTGAACAATGTGATGTGGTTCAGTGTATCATTTCATGAGATTTAGTGCAAATATTCGGATTTTATATTTTTTCATTTTCATTTTTCTTTTAAGTCTGAATAATTTTTTTAAAACTGAAATACAATGTGTATGAAGATATCGAACAGTAAACAAGCTATCGAAACGGTAAACAAGCTGAACAGTCCATTGGAACAAACAAACTTGGAGCAAACATTGACCTCTAAAGGTATGATAGGGGGAATCAGTTGTCATTGATGAGAAAGCATCCCCTATCGACTGGTCACATCCATCATGTTTGCTCTGCACTTGTGATAATGTACTTACACCATTTGTGTATATATATATATATATATACATATATATATACATATATATATATATATATATATATATATATATATATATATATATATATATATATATATATATATATATATATATATATATATATATATATATATATATTCTTGCAATTTTGAACGAAATTATTCAACATAATCGTTAGTCATGTAGATAAATCTTTTTCATGTTAGTTTTCAGTATTGTGCTTTTCAGGCAAACGTCAAGACGCAAAAACGACTACATCTGAAGAGCCAATTGCGTGTGTTAATGAAAAATCTGGCAGGAAGAAGTTCAAGAAGAGACAGTTTCGGAAATGTTTGTCAACCTCTGACTACATTAAGCAGTCTGATGCGATGCCAGTTTCTGTGCCTTTGTTTTTCTACTTTGGGTATCAGTATCTACAACACATAGGAAAACTTTTGGATTATGGATATGTAAATATAAACGTTGTTTCAAGTATGAAAAGATCAATTTCAATTGTAAATATTTATCTATTTGGCTATCGAGCGATCGAAAATAGAGAAAAAGGGCGGAAATATGCTTTCTTTTATTGGCTTCTGCTTCCAAGGGTTTTACTATTTTACTATGATTTTCTGAGAAATTGCTAAAACAGATGTTCATGTTTTTATGGGCAGGTTGGGATTTCATTTCTTGATATTGATTATGAAGTTTGTCTTATGTCGTATGTGTACAAACACTAGTACTAAAAAATCTATATATAATTTAGTTAAATGTGTAACTTTTCTTTCGTAAGTTCTTGCTGTACCAGGCCTTAAAGACAAACAGGTGCGATTACGTCAGTGCGTTGGTTTCTGATGAAGTGAAGTTTAAAGCTACGTACCTTGCAAAACTTTACGCTAAGGTAAGACTGGTGTTGTTAAAATAAGTATCTAAATTAGGCTCTATACCAAGGCTATTTATATCTGATATGCTTAATTTAACTTTTCCTCGATACAGACATTTCCAGTAACGAAAACTAGAAATTGCTGCAGGCGGAATTGGGAAGATTTCGTAGTAAGTATAAATATATCAATAAACAGATTTTTTTTCTTTCTTCTTCAAAGCATTTTTTCTTGAAGACAACAAAGTGTACAAAATCAAGAGTGGATATAAAGGGGGCTGACTTTGGCAAGTCTTTTTTGTATGAATTTGCGAGTCTGCCATTTGTTAGAAATGATGACCCCCCCCCCCCCAACACCTTGAAAGCAAAAATCGTTGCGCTGTCCCTAAAATGAAAATTAAACGCGTGAAAAACAAGCTTTACATGAATATTTACTGTTTAGTGAAAGGACTTAACATATTTCACCGTCATGAGTATTGTTCTCGGTATTGTAGAAAATTGCAATCGCACCAGACACTATTCTTCATGTTACTGAAGATATGGATTTCAAACCTCAGGGCCCAAAAACGGGGGAGGAGGAAATGTCGATGGAGGATCAGAAATTGGACCACTATCGCAAAGTCTCCGGCGCTGTTAGGGCATTATGTTGTTACTTGTTGAAATACAACGGTAAGAGCCATTGATTTGAAGTGAGTTGTAGAAAACATATTTTCTTCTGGTAAAATTATTTAAAAAAAGAAAACGAAAAAGTTGTTCATGTATGTATTATGTAACAAATTTGATAAAATGTTTGAAAAATAACATTTCGATGTGAGAGTGCTTAAAAACTTTCTTTTTCTTTCTTTTTTATGACCAATCAGAGAAAGGCATCATTTGTTAATTTTTAAATAAAAATATGTGCTTTGGAATAAATACAATAGAGACCTTAAGGTATCCGACCCATATTAGGACCTAATTTTCTAACCTTAAATATCCATCCTATATTAAATACTTTGATATTAATTCAAAGCATTTTAGAGTAGTAAAGGATATACCAAGAGAAATTTTAAAAAATATAATTACCTAAGCAGTAATTAATTAATGAAGATTGCATTGATGTTTATTGGGACAAGCAAATTTTTGAAAATAAAACTTTTAATATTAAGAATATCAAAAAATGCTTTGGTGGAAAGATGTATTTAATTATAAGGAATAGAAAAGCGATTGAAAACTAAATTTTTACCAGATACATTTTTCAGAATTGATTTTTATTGATTAAAAGCAAAGGGGGATAACTCTTCAAGGACAGGACAAGGTCAAAAATTAGGACACATTCCGCTCTTACATATTGATACTAAAACATGAAGATTATGTCTACATATACTGAGTATTAAGCCAATATATATCTGTTATACATTCAGATTCACTGAATCTGAGGCTATTATGGGTCGGATACCTTAAAACAAAGGTGCGACATATATGAAAGGTTTATAAACAAGAATTTTGAGTCCCATACCTGAGTGTAATTTAGTTCTCATTTAAAATGTCGTTATTTCATAAAACATTCATATCAAGCACATGAAATAAAACCCTTGAAAATTAATTACTTTTAACAAAAGCTGAGGAGGACCCAATGGTAATGAAAAAAGATAACAAATTAACTGATCGATCAAGAAGCAGACGTTATACAGAGAAAAGCACTGAAGAAAGCACAGATGGAGAAAAAAGCACAAACGAGTACGTTTTAAGACCAGACATGTTTACTAATGAAAAGCAACAACTTGGAAGCAGACTTGATGTTAAAAGAGGCGAGAAAAAGAAGAAACCTTCTCAAGATGACATCAACAAAGCCGTGTTACTCTGGGCAATTTTTGCCCAGCGAGAGGAAATTGCTGAACTCTTTTGGTTGCATGGAAACAATCATTTAGGTATTTTTTTGTTTACAGACTATTATCGAATGTGTTTGTTTATCTAAGTCTGACTGTTAAATTGCTGTATTTGATCAGATTACAAAGATAGATTCGATAGTTAGTGCAGATTAACTTGCAGAAGTTACGCGTCTTTTGGACACATAAGATTGAGGGATATTCACATAAACGTATCGGATTTTTAAAAAAAAATTCTGTCAGTAGTCAATATAACCAAGCGGAGAAGGAACGCAGGCTTTATTACAGATTTTTTTTCCAATCCTATACGTTTATGTGAATATCCCTGAATCTAATGTGTGATGCCATATATAGTTCAGTTAATAAATCATTTAGATATCAAAACATCAAGGTCTTGCTAGAGTCTTAAAAAAGGCTACATATAGTTCAGTTAATAAATCATTTAGATGTAAAAACATCAAGATCTTGCTAGAAAATAATAGGAAAATCGTTAAATTGGCTAATATGAAACAGAATGTTCATATCTTTTGTTTAATATGATTTTTTATTTCATTTTCATTGATTGAATTAGTTGGAGAACAGGTATCGATTGATTTATAATAAGTTTAGCTATTTTAATTATGTTATAGTTTCCAGTTTAATATGCACTGTATTGTTGAGAAAACTGTCTGAAAAAGCAGATGATTGCAATGAACATAACCTTTCCAGGCACTTTGAGGAACATGCCAGGTAATCCTTATTGTAACATTAGTGATTTTCATGAAGGTTTAATTAGACCACAACAGGTGAATACGGAGAGGTCTATAGGTTTCCTTTTCGTCTGTCCTCATCTCTCCGTCCATCTGTATTTCCGTCTCTCTATCCTAAACGGTTTTCCGCACTTCTTTTTCCAAAATGCTTGCAGTTATTGAACTAATTTTTGGTACCGAGTGTATCTTGATGAGTTGCCTTTTGTTCTGCTTCAATGATCGTTGACATTATTACAGCTTTTTTAGGTCAACTGAGTAAACTAAGGAGACCTATTGCTATCTATTTTCGTCCGTCGTCGTGCGATGTGCATTAACATAATGAACATTTTGAGCTTCTCCTCTGAAACCGCTCAACCAATTTCAACCAATTTTGGCACATAGCATCTATGGGTGGAAAAGAACAAAATTGTGAATTTCATGATCCCTGCCCCCTGAGGCCTGAGGGGTAGGGCAAAAACCACTAAAATTAATGCAATCTTTAAAACCCGTCTTCTTTACTCGTGGACATCAAGCGGTCAAACTGTTTGCATGATTGTAATAAACATTGAGCCCTCTACCAAAATTTTTGAAATTAATGGCCCCAGTGTCAGGGGTTCTGGTGCTAGGTCAGGGCTCTGTTGAATATATATTGAAAATGCATTATTTCTTTAACAAAATCTCCTCTGCTCCTGGGTATTCAGCAACAAAACTAAATGCTTAGTTATGGTATGAATGTGTGCCTCTTCCAAAATTGTGAATTTCATGGCCCCTGGGTCTGGGGTTCTGGTGTTATGGCGTGGCTGTAATGATTATATAGTGAAAGTGCATTAATGCTTTGAAAATCTTGTCCTTTGCTCCTAGGTATTTTGCAGATAACCCAAGTATAAGTATATAGTTATGATGATCAAGGCGCCCTCTTCCAAAATTATGAATATTTTGGCACCTGGGTCAGGGGTTCTGGTGTTAGGGTGGGCCCCAAGGGTCTTGAGTATCAATGGGGCATCATTATATTTTCGAAATATTCTTATCTTCGAGATGAAATGCAAAGTTTTGGACGTAGATCTGCTAAAATTGCATGTTACAATCATATCTTCTCAAATTTTGGTATGGTATTCAAATACTGGTAGTGATTTGCTAAACAATTCTGATGTAAGGTTTATTTTTCCTCGATTACTTATAACCTGTGAGTTTTTAAACACCTTGACTGATGGTCACCTCCAAGTTCAAAGTCATTTTCAGGAAAACAATTCCACCAGCCTCACCTCATCTATAACCTTCCGGCCTATTGGCACATAAGACCAGCACCCAGGATATTTTAAATTTTGAAAGAACTTGTATCCCATCCTTTTGTATATATCATACAATAAAATATGTCCAAACCAGAGACGACACATGGCACCGGACGAATTCAGATCCCCTTTTTCATAATAGGTCAAAAGTGACAGAAGAAAGTTATGAAATAATTAACTTGCCTTAAATAATGTAGATTATTTGAAGAGCGGGTTCACATGCTACTGGACTTGATGTATCAAGAGAATGAGAGATGTGCCATGGCAACGATGGACGAAGAATCAACCGTGTTTGGAGTTAAAACAACTCCTTTAACTTTTGCATACGAAAATCTTTTGTATGATGTGATTGCGCATCCTTGTTCCCAGCGCTACATGGACATAGTCTGGCACGATAGAAAGGTAATGATTTAGATTGATACATGAACATTGTCTGGCACAATAGAAAGATATGATTTAGATTGTTTTATTTTAGCGTATTTTGCTAAAATGAAACGTATTTCGACGTATTTGGCCCCAGTCTTTGGCACCTTTTTTCAGCTCTTCAAAATCTATTGATTTAAATATTTTGGATTTCCAACCTTTTTGCATGAGCATCACTGAAGAGACATAATTTGTCGAAATGCGCATCTGGTGCATCAAAATTGGTACCGTATATAATTTACATTGCTAGATTATTTTTCTCATATGAGACGTCATGAAATACCAGTGAAGGCTTCAAATTTCAAAATTTTACTACCGATTCAAGGCCTCATAACAGTGAGGGTTCTTTATCGTGCCATGATACAGGGCCTCGGTTTTATCAGGTGTCATAAGAAAGACGTTCAACTTGCTTTTGAAAGTACAGTAAACATAGTTACTGCAAAACGCTCATGATAAATTGACGCTTAAAGCGAAGTGGTAGTCATTTCCAGTGACTTAAAAATATATTGTTTACTCAAGGGACGTAACGAATTACGCAAATAATATGAATATGATAAAATATATTTTTTTTAAGTTTCACATCTTTCAAATAATAGATCTGCTAGTATATTTAGGATACGGCTTAGACAAATACGTCACAATTAATACTTCATACTTCATACTACATCCCTCTCCCCCCAAATCAGCCTTTCCTTTTTTGATAACATTTGAACTACATGACTTAGAGTATATTTGGCAGAGATTTGGATATATTTTAAAACATAATATTTTTTTTTATATCAAATTTGAACTTACGCATATTAAGAAAAAATATACAATTAATTTAAATAGCAGTCGAACAGGATCGTTATTTTTGATAT